GGAGAAATGTCTAAGGATCATGTCCAACTTCTGTAAGTGCTCCTTATTGGGCTTCCCTGTTTTAGCATGTCATCTAGATAAATAACTTAGGGTAGACTTTGCAAAATGTTCTCATCGTCCACTAAAAAATTGCACAGGCTGATGATACCCCAAAATGCAGTCTTGTACACTGGTACAGACCCTTATGGATATTAATTGTAGCGTAATGCTGGGAATCCTCATATAAATGCAATTGCAAGTATGCATGACTCATGTCAAGGTTTGTGAAGGAGAGCACCTGCTGCCAGCTTTGTGTATGAATCCTCTATGCAAGAGATTGGATATTTATCCAGCTGCGCAAAGCAGTTTACCATTTGTTTAAAACCCCTACAAAGGCGAACCAACCCATCGGGCTTCAGAATTGGTATGACCGGAGCTGCTCATTCCACCAACTGGACTGGTTTGATGATTCTGTCACTTTCCAGCCTTGTGATTTCTGCCTCTACTTTTACCCATAAGTCAAATGGCATTGGGCAGGCCTTGCAGAATCATGGAATTGCATGGTTCACATCCTTCATAAAGTGTGCCTCCCTCTCCCCAAAATTGTGCATAATTCTTGAGGTCTAACTCGTGTCTTTATATAAGTTCAGCATCACCCTCCTTACCTAATTACCTTTGAGTATTTTATGATGTGACCTCAGTTGATGTTATTGCCAGACAAGTCAGATCCCAGACTGATATTCTGTTCTTTTTTTAAATTACTTTATCAAGGTGTTTTTTCCTTGCTGAAACAAAAAAGTGCCATGCTGCGGAATTGATTTTAACAATAAAACAAAAGTTTACTATACAAACGAAATGAAGATAAAATAGAATAAAACAAACTATTTAGATAACCTGTAAAACCATTTTTCAGATTTTGAAGCACATAGCAAAATACAATCCCAACGATATCTCATGGCAAATAAAAACCAAAAGGAACTGCGGATGCTGTAAATCAGGAACACAAACAGAAGTTGCTGGAAAAGCTCAGCAGGTCTGGCAGCATCTGTGAAGAAAGAAAATCAGTTAATGTTTCGGGTCTGGTCACTTCATATGCTGAAGAAGCAGCACTCCAAAAGCTTGTGATTTCAAATAAAGTCTGTTGCGCTATAACCTGGTGTCATGTGACTTCTGACTTTGTCCACATAGAGTTTGAGTTGGCTATGACTTAAATTCCTGGTCATAAGAATCTGATGCCTACTTCTTTTATCAATTATATAACTGAGCTTAAACTTTTCCTGGTTTCACGAAACCACTTCAGGGTTTTAACTGAACACTTCTAGACAGGGACATTTAAACTAAATTCCTTATACTGAGGTAATCTCGTTCTGAACCATTTAAACTACCTCCTTTTCTCAGGAGCAACTGTTTTACACAGTACTAGAGGTCGGGCTGATCAGCTCCAAAAGGACATAGCTGCTAGACTGGGTCTGCGGCAGGTGGTGAGGGAACCAACAAGAGGGAAAAACATACTTGACCTTATCCTTACCAATCTGCCAGCTGCAGGTGCATCTGTCCATGACCATATCAATAAGAGTGGCCACTGCACAGTCCTTGTGGAGATGAAGTCCCACCTTCACACTGAGAATAACTTCCATCGTTTTGTGTGGCACTATCACCGTGCTGAATGAGACAGACTTCACACAGATCTAGCAACTCAAGATTGGGCATCCATGAGGCGCTGTGGGCCATCAACAGCAACAGAATTGTACTCCAGCACAATCTGTAACCCCATGTCCCGGCATATCCCCCAGTCAACCATTACCATCAAGCCAGGGGATCAACCCAGGTTCAATGGAGAGTGCAAGAGGGCATGCCAGGAGCAGCACCAGGCATACCTGAAGATGAGGTACCAACCTGATGAAGCCACCAAACAGGATTACTTGCATGCCAAACAGTGAAAGCAGCAAGTGATAGACAGAATTAAGTGATCCCACAACCAATGGATCAGATCTAAGCTCTGCAGTCCTGCCACATCCGGTTGTGAATGTTGGTGGACAATTAAACAACTCACTGGAGGAGGTGTTATCATTGATCAGAAACTCAACTGGACTCACCACATAAACACAGTGGCTACAAGAGCAGGCCAGAAGCTGGGAATACTGTGGCAAGTAACTCACCTCCTGACTCCTCAAAGCCCGTCCACCATCTACAAGGCACAAGGCAGGAGTGTGATGGAATACTCCCCTTTTGCCTGGATGAGTGCAGCACCAGCAACACTCAAGAAACTTGACACCATCCAGGACAAAGCAGCCGGCTTGATTGGCACTACATCCACAAGCATCCACTCCCTCCACCACCGACGCTCAGTAGCAGCAGTGTGTACCATCTACAAGATGCACTGCAGAAATTAACCAAAGATCCTCAGTCAACACCTTTCAAACCCACGACCACTTCCATCTAGAAGGACAAGGGCAGCAGATATATGGGAACACTACCTTCTTTGGGTTCGCCTCCAAGCCACTCACCATCCTGACTTGCAAATATATCACTATTGCTGCAGTGTTGCTAGGTCAAAATCTTGGAATTCCCTCCCTAATGGCATTATGGGTCAGCCCACAGCAGGAGGACTGCAGTGGTTCAAGAAGGCAGCTCACCACCACCTTCTCAAGGGCAATTAGGGATGGGCAAGAAATGCTGGCCAGCCAGCGACACACACATCCCACAAATGAATAGAAAAAAAAAGCACCTCAGGTTTCACCTAAGACTTCTGCAAACTAATTGAAACCCGTGGATGTTTCCCCTAAGCCTCCAAAAAAATGCAGAATCTGAAAGCCCAGTGCACTATACTGTTTACTTTTTCTGCTTGTAAAATACCTAATGTAAATAAATTCCGATTAGCCACCATGAAAACTCTCCCTCTGACTTGTTTTTTAAATATCACCATGGCTACAGAAATACTTATACGTTAATTATTAAACCCCTGAAGACACCCAGAAAACCGGTATACCACTAATTCAAAATTTAAAAATTCACAAATAAATCATATTTAAAAAGAGGTAAAATGCATACTTTTCATCACACTTATTAGTCAAGACCCTCTCTCTGACTGAAAAGTATTCAGTGTAACTATCTCAAGCGCGCTCTGGGGAAGACAGTGCCAAAGGCTCAAGACTCTCAGAGAGAAAAAGTTCTCTCACCACAGTCTTAAGTGGAAGATCCTTTGTTTCTCAACTTTTGTTCCTAAGTTCTAGTCCTTCCTGCAAGACAAAACATCCTTTCAGCATCTAGATGAAAAATTATCTAATTACCCTGCTGTTAGCTAACTAATTCTCTGTCTGTGCTCTGTCCAGTCTTGTGCAGGCTGGGTGGGATTCGCCATGGGAAATGCAAGAATAGTGTAGGAGGGTGGATCTGGCTGGGATGCTCTTTGAAGTGTCGATGTGGATATGATGGGCCGAATGGTCTGCTTCCACACTGTAGGGATTCTACAATTCTATCTTACACCACACACCATGAATTCTAGCTTTGCATCATAACTGTAGCATAGCACTTTGACAGATGCCTTCTGGAAATCTAAGTACAGTACATCTGCATAATCTCCTTTATCCAAAAGAAAAGAACTACAATAAGTTAATCAAACATGATTTTCCTTTCACAAAATCATGTTGACTCTGCCTGACTGAATTTTGATTTTCTAATGTGCCTCATTATGTCATCCTTTAATGTAAGATTAAGTATTTTACTCATAACAAACGTTAACTAACTGGCATGTAGTTTCCTGATTTCTGATATTCTCCTTTCACAATTACACGTATTATTTTCCAAACTGCTGGGACCTTTAAGGCATCAAATGCTGGAAAATTAAAACCAATGTGTCCACTATTTCAGCAGCCACTTTTGTTAAAATCTTCAGATTAAGTCCATCAGGAACTGGGGGCTTGTCAGTTTTTAGTTTTACTAAGGCATTCAGCACCCTTCACTCAGTGTTTGTAATTGTTTTAGGTTCCTCCTCTTTCAGAAGATATTAACCCTTTATGTTACATTTCCCCTCAAGTCTTTGGCCCTACCTATTACATGGTGGTATGTCTCAATATTGCATTTCTTAATCATAATACAATTCAATTTTTAAAATACCTATTTCAGATTATTCTCCTGGTTTTACTTGTAGCAGTTGCTGAATATTAATCTTTAATCTGTGAAGCATTAGCAACTTGATTGGGAAATTGTATGGGATGAGGCAAATCAAACCAATCTGCCCACTGTCACCAAATCTGCACCCAGTGCTGTGGGCTGAGGGGGAGGCAATGGCCTAGTGGTATTAGTGCTGGATTGTTAATCCAGAGACTCAGGTAATGTCCTGGGGAGTTGAGTTCAAATCTTGCCATGGCAGATGGTGGAATTTGAATTCAGGAAAAATCTGGAATTTAAGGTCAGATGATGACCATTGTTGGGAAAAACCCATCTCGCTCACTGATGCCCTTTAGGGAAGGAAACTGTCAACTTTACTTGGTCTGGTCTACATGTAACTCCAGATCCGCAGAAGTATTTCTTTGTTATAGAACAGTGCTCATAGATATTTTTGTTTGTGCAGTTAGTGATGAACGATAAACGCTGACCTAGCCAGAGACTCCCACATTCTGTGAATAAATCCTGTGTTAATTCAAACCACTTATGCATGAATCAAGGGCAGCATGAGGCCATTCAGCCCCTTGCATCGCTTTTGCCTTTCAGTAAGGTCATGTCCGATCTGATTGTTGCCTCCCCATTCCATGTTTGCAATCACTTCCCCATAACCATTGACTCCTTTCTTCATCTAGTACTCACCCACCTCAGAGACTCGGCCTCCATTGTGCTGTGGGATTGAGAGGTGCAAAGACCCACAACCCTCAGACTTGTGCTTTTGTGAAATGCTGGCAGGTAGCAGATCATCCAAAAACTACCAGGACACTCCAGGCTCGGCCTGTAACTCAGTCAAGGAAAGGTTACCTGTTGCAGAAATCCTTTAATTTTAAAATGCCAATATTTTATTTATTTTCTAGACACCATGGAAGCATGCATGTTTGTTCTGTGCTGTGGACTTGTTCATCTGGCTGGTAAGTGACAAATTCCAGTAACTGCAAGGTCTTTGCCCTAATTGATCATGGTCGTGAAGACTACGCACATGTCTCACCAGTTCGGGTTTCCATTTGTACAAAGAATTTCCAAGTGGGTGGTCTCTGAGCACATGAACATTAACCCAGCTCCCTTCACCTGCACGACATCTCAATAATTACTATCCAGGTTTCATTCCATTAAATCAACACTAATTAACTTGACTGCCACATTTCACATGTGGGCTCCCAAACACTGAGGAATATATCAGTTTGTTAAAGTGAGGAAACAGGGACATATATCCCTGCGGAAGGAAGAAAATTATGTCTGTATTAGAGGGAGGGAGATATCAGAATGTTGGAGGGAGGGAGATATCAGAGTGTTGGAGGGAGGGAGATATCAGAGTATTGGAGGGAGGGAGATATCAGAGTGTTGGAAGGAGGGAGATATCAGAGCATTGGAGGGAGGGAGATATCAGAATGTTGGAGAGAGGGAGATATCAGAGTGTTGGAGGGAGGGAGATATCAGAGTGTTGGAGGGAGGGAGCTATCAGAGTGTTGGAAGGAGGGAGATATCAGAGTGTTGGAGGGAGGGAGATATCAGAGTGTTGGAGGGAGGGAGATATGTTCCTGTGGGAGAGAGGGAGATATCAGATTGTTACGGTGAGGGGGAGCGGTGTGGGATATATCAGTGTTGCAGTCTGGGGTGGATTTAAGAATATCTTCAGTTAGGTGAATAAATGTGATTCTACATTGTCCAAGACAGTGAAAACAACCAAATATGAATTCTGACCTTGTAACACTGGATCGGACTAGTTTAACTGTGACACACTATAACATGTGAATCCAGCCCTCTGCCTCACTGTTTCTCTGTAAATCTATATATACATCTATCTCTTTCTCTATGTTTCTGTCTCCAAATCTCTTCTTTTGGCTACTCTGTGTCTCTACAGTCACACTCATCAGTTCTGGGCTTATGTCATTGGAAATATACTCAGCTCAACAAATGGTTTTACAAAGAGTTTTGAGTATGGTGCATAGAAGTGCCTGTCTTTCTGTCTCTGTCTCTCTGTGATTCCTCTATCGCTCCAAGTCTCTCTCCTTCTCTCTGGTTCAACATCATTTCAGTTTAGCTACAGTGATTTGTGTTACCCCACCAGGGAAGTAGCCACTCAACTCTAATGAGCTGACCCTGTGTAAGTATGTTTATTGTTCTTTACGTGATAACACACAGGTATGGTGTCCTGTTTCTCTGCTTGTCTGTCTGTCTGTTGAATAATCACAGTAAATTAATTCATGTAATACAATAATGGCCTTCTTCTGAAAAGCAGTCAGTTCTAATTTTATCTAAATCTGGGTATTCATCTGCCATACAGAATAAGCCTCATAGATTATCTCTGTTTTTAATTGAATTTCTGCAAAGATTCCTTCTAAAATTAAATTCTGTTGAATTAAGTTCACAATCTATGTTCAATTCTATTGTTGATAACTGACGATTAATTCTGTGTCTTTTCCAGTTGCTGGAAATTCTACTAATATGGGTAAGCATTCTATTAGCTCTGATTCTATCTCGCACAGTACACATCTTACACCCTCCACATGCTGCACTTGGCGGGGGGTGGGGGTGAGAGAAATGTTCTTGTCTAACTGGTGACCTGTGCCAATTAATAAGGTGATATCCTGTTCACCACCTCATGGTGAAATAATATTTTGGTATTCTTGTGACTCTGTCCTAGTGAGTCCAAAACAAAAAGCTTTGACAACATGCATTTTATTCAGCAATACTCAAACCAGATCCAGTTAAGGAATGGGGTGCTTTCCAAATGCTGAAAGCTAGAAATCCAAAGATACATGAGCTGGCTTTGGAGGAGTGGTGAGTGAAATCGAGGAACATCGATAATTAAACCTTCAGATGCAAGTACAACAAATATTCAAGAAGCATCTGGAATGTTGGCCTTTACGCAACAAATGAAGGGGGTCGAGGCCCTGGACAGACCACACCAGGTCCATGTAGCGAGTAGGCAATACAGTCCGACTTTCTGCGCTGTTCCCCAGCCCAAGTGTCCCTGGAAAGGTCACGTAGTGTTAACTGATAAACCTGGGACTTGCTGCGTTGAGCGGGCTACAAATGGACTGCAGTGGATCATTATTGCTGGGAATACCATGAGAAGACCAAAAGACCAAAGGAAATAGAAACAGGAGAAGGCCATTCAGCCCCTTGAGCACGTTCCACCATTCATAGCATCATGGCTGACTCACATCCTCTTTCCTGACCATTCCCCATAACCCTTGATTCTCCGACTGATCAACAATCTATCTGTCTCAGCCTTAAATACACACAAGGATTCTGCCCCACAGCAAGAGTTCTAAAGACTCGCAACCCTCTGAGAGAAAAAAATTCCTCCTCATCTCAGTCTTAGTACCTCAAGTCCCTTTGTGCTCAGCTTTCAGCAGTTTTTCGCCACTTAAATAATACTCCTATCTTTTGTTCTCCCTTCCAAACTAAACAACTTCACATTTTCCCATATTATACTGTATTTGCCAATTTTTTGCCCACTTACTTAACCTATCAAATGCCTGTTTTAATTTTGGGCTTGTTAAGGTTCCTTTGTGATTTTGCTCTGTGTTTTCTTAGAGTTTATTAGTTGCCACCTCATAACTAGTTAAAAACATCACGCAGGTTTACTAAGAGTTGGTCCACACGTGCTGTTCTGGGAACTACATCTTGGGGAAGAATATAAAAACCAAAAGATCTGCGGATGCTGTAAATCAGGAACAAAAACAAAGTTGCTGGAAAAGCCCAGCAGGTCTGGTAGCATCTGTGAAGGAGAAAACCGAGTTAATGTTAACGAGAAAGGGTCACGCAGACCTGAAACGTTAACTCGGTTTTCTCCTTCACAGATGCTGCCAGACCTGCTGAGCTTTTCCAGCAACTTTGTTTTTGTTGTTGTTGTTGGGGAAGAATATATTGGGCATGGCGGGATTGTTTATTCTGGCAGCTTGAAACACATGAACTGACATTTTGTATTCTTTTACTCCACACTCTACACCTGAAGAGAAAGATGAGTTTTATTATGGTGAGTGAATTGATTGTTTATTCCTCAGTCTGGTTAGCCAGAGTCTTTAGCTCACCTTCTTTCTGACCCTGTTCCTGCTTTTCTGCATTTAGCTGAGTGTTCAACCTCTAACTTTGGAAGATTTCCATAACTCCCCCCTTAACCAACATTAAAATAACAAACCTTCAGTTATCTGCTCTCTCCCTTCCTTCTTAAATAACAGAACACCATTAGCAATTTTCCAACCCAGCAGTTCCTGAAAATAGAACATGTTGGATGTTTGGGATGACAGCATATGTAACTTCTGCGTCTGCCTCTGGAGTGGATAGGACCAGCCTTGTGCCCAATCCAACAATGGATTAATCAAGAATGGGAATTCTGTCTGTAACTCCCAGATTGATCCTTGTTGTAGCTAATTCCAGGGATTAAACACCTTCGCATCTTATCCTGTGAGGCTTAGTATCATGTAGGAAAGTGAAGTCATCCTGATAATGTTGGGAGATGCTTTATCGTTTTGGTACCTCCTCAATGTACTCACACAGTTGAGTTGCTATGATCTGGAATGCACTGAGATTCATTAGTTAAAGGGAAGTAGACAAAGGGGTGTGTTTTGGACAGGGCTGTAGAACTAACTGAATATCTGAACAAATTAATACAATTGCAAAGGCACAATAAACGGAATGGTCTCCTTTTTCAATGCATCATTCTACGCACACTGTTCGAAATATTATCTCATCCCTCCTCTCCCCCTGCAACTCCCCCCAACATTTTCTGCCTCCCCCCACAGCTGCAGTGCCTATCGCCTGCAACCCCATCTTCCTTACGCACCCTCCCCCCACCAAACCCCCTCCTCTCCCTCACCCCCTTTCCCTAACTCCACACCCCCTCTCCCTTCCCCTGGACACCCCTCCCACCTCACAGCCTCTCTCCTGCACCCTCTCTCCACATGCCCCCTCTCCCCTCACCCTGTCTCTCCCACACCCCTGCAGCCCCTCTCCCCCACACTGCCTCCCCCACCCCTCATCTAATGGGCTCTCACCTGGACTGTTGCACAGTTGAGCCATTTGTCATTCTGTTTGCAGATTATGAGACACTGCGGATTGGAGGCCTAGTGTTTGCTGTCATACTGTTTACTCTTGGGATCCTGCTGATCTTGAGTGAGTAGGATCTGATGTTGCTTACGCTAATCCTGTTGTAATTCTGTGTGATGCATAATCCCTCACCTTTTTCCTACAATGTCTCAATTCTGTCCTTCCTTTCAGGCCGGAAATGTCGTTGCAGCTTCAATCAGAAGGCCAGGTAATGGCACAGAGTGAATGGAGAGGGTTGGAGTTGAGTAAAGGGGCACAGAACTGAGCATGGCATCAGAGGGCAGCCCTAGCGTGAAATCAAAATGCAGCCATAAGAACAAAACATCCCACCACACTTTCATTGTGTCTGATCGTTTGCTTATGTACATGGTTAACTATTTCCTCTGGTATGGGGAGCCCAGAACAAAGGAACACTAAAGGTAAAGTCATCACAGTTTACTGGACTGCTCTCTCATGAGAGAGAGAGAGAGAGAGAGAGAGAGAGAGAACTGGTGGTGGTTTAACCTTGGGGTCACCACCTCTTAGCCAGCGAATCACTTCAAAAGGCAGGACCTTCATGGTAACCTCAGCCAGTGTGGGAATTGAATGCGCGCTGTTGGTATCACACTGCAATGTAAACCAAATAAGCTGACTGACCCACCCAAAAATGAGCCCTACCTTAAATTTAAAACTGGATTATTTGGGGGCGGGGGATATGAAGAAGCATTTCTTCCTACAGGAAGTGTAGCAGAAATGTGGAGCATCTGCCCATGTGGATGGTGTACATGGAGGACTGAGATCTCTCTGAGGGTAGGGGCAGTGAGGGACATTAAGCTGCAGAAAATAAAAGGACACAAACTGTCCCAATTATGTCTGATTGTGGATTAAATCAAATATGTTCATCCAAAACATTTGATTTATTTCTGCTTTGTATGAAAGTCCTGTATGTAACATAAGTTCATGTTGATCCTCCATTCCCACCATTGGCTAGAGGTGGAGGGAGCTTTACTCTGTATCTAACCCTGTGCTGTCCCTGTCCTGGGAGTGTTTGATGGGGGACAGTGTAGAAGAAGCTTTACTCTGTATCTAACCCTGTGCTGTCCCTGTCCTGGGAGTGTTTGATGGGGACAGTGTAGAAGAAGCTTTACTCTGTATCTAATCCTGTGCTGTCCCTGTCCTGGGAGTGTTTGATGGGGACAGTGTAGAGGAAGCTTTACTCTGTATCTAACCCTGTGCTGTCCCAATAGTGGGAGTGTTTGATGGGGACAGTGTAGAGGGAGCTTTACTCTGTATCTAACCCTGTACTGTCCCAATAGTGGGAGTGTTTGATGGGGACAGTGTAGAAGAAGCTTTACTCTGTATCTCACCCTGTACTGTCCCAATTGTGGGAGTGTTTGATGGGAGACAGTGTAGAGGGAGCTTTACTCTGTATCTAACCCTGTGCTGTCCC